CGGGGCCTCTGGTCGGGGTCGCCCCGGCCAGCCGCAGGCAGAGGCGCCCCGGCGGCCGCGGGCCAGAGCGGGGTCCGCGCCTCCCCTTGGGTGGATCGCGGGCAGTGACAGCCTCCGCCCGTGGGGGCTTAGTCGCGGGAGTGGCGCGGAATCGCTGCCGTCTGCTTGCTCAGCGGTTGCACTGTGCCAAGCGTCGCGCTAATTATTTTACTTCGATGATTTCACGTCATCTTCAGAGCAGCCTTTTGAGGTAGGTGCTGTTTGTAACCCGGTGGGCTGAGCGGACCGCCGAGGCGCGGAGAGCATTGCCCAGGGTTACGTGGTTGGGAAGAGGCAAGACCGGGATACAGGTGTTTGCCGGGTGTAGGGCCTGACCGTTAAGTGAGCAAATGGAATCTGTTCGGTGCTCTGCCCTAAATGTTCTTTGAGCGACGGTTGCGGCGTTTGCTGAAACCCCTGTGGTCCCTGCCGGGTGGAGACAGGTGCATGCGCCAAGTGGTGTCCCGTGGCGCCGGAGGGTAGTGCGACGGTCGTGACCGCCAGCTGGGTTTGCCCGGGCACCGCTGTGGATTCCGCAGCCTCTGCGGGGAGAGGAGCGCTGCCTCCGGCCTCGCTGAGCCGCCGCGGAGAGCGAGCTCGCGGAAGGACTGGCGAGGCTGTGGAGGAGGCACTGCCCTTCGGCGGGTGGTGTGTGCAGTTGTGAAGCCAGAGCAGGGGGTGTTTCTGGTGTCTCCCCGTGTGGCCGCCACGGGTTGCTGAAGGGTTTCCCAGGTGGCACATGTGTCTCCTGCTGCCCCTCCAGCTTGGTCCTCGGTGGTGATCAGACTTGGCCCAGAGGCCCATGCCCTGTGGCTCACAGCATCAAGGCATGGGTTTGTGACCCCTGCCGAGGAGGGGCCCAGGAGAGGCACCTGGCAGGGGCAACTGGACTCTTCCTCCAGAGAAGCCCCAGTCACATCGTCCAGGCATATCTCGGAAGCCACCTTGGAGGTGGCCCGGCAGGTGGAACCATTGGAGAAGTCTGGAGTTAGACAAGCAGGTATTTTTCCCCCTCAACCAAAAAGACAGCAAGAGGCCCTGTAGCCGAGGCAGCAGGGTTGGCAGCTTTCCTGATGCCCCGCACTCTGTGGGACCTGCATTTGGGAGCTCTGCCCACTCCATGCAGGCCACTGAACCCCATTTTCTTTCAGAGCTGGCTCACGTTGCACTTAAACTTGGAAGCTGGTTTCGGGCCCGCAGGCTGTGCTGATGCTGTCCCCTTTGTTCCTGCAGCACGGGCCCAGGCAGCAGCCAGGCCATGGAGCTCTCTGGTGTCGCCCTGGTTGAGGGCGTGGGTAACGAGGTAGTGGTGCTGGCAGGTGTGGTGGTGCTGGTTCTAGCCCTGGTCCTGGCGTGGCTCTCCACATACGTAGCAGACAGCAGTAGCAGCCAGCTTCTGGGAACCATCGTGTCGGCAAGTGACACCTCCGTCCTTCACCTGGGCCATGTAGACCAGCTGGTGGCTGTCCCAGGCACCCCCGAGCCCCCCGAGCCGCCCCACCCATTGGAGGGCAGCGAGGAGAAGGCCGAAGAGGCCTGCACGGGCGGGGGCGATACAGCAGGGGAGCTGGGCGCCGGGGCAGGCGTGGAACCCAACCTGGAGCAGCTCCTGGACATCCGGGGCCTGCCCAGGCGGCAGGCAGGTGGTCCGGAAGCCCTGCCATGCTCTGAGAGGGGTACCTGCCTGCCACCCAGTGCTGGCTTCATCAACCTGAGGCTCAAATTCCTCAATGACACCGAGGAGCTGGCCGTGGTCAAGCTGGAGGACACTGTGGGTGCCCTGAAGAGGTGAGGGGGCCCCCGGCCTGGCTCCTGGAGGAAGCTGCTGGGCCCTGGGAGGAGAGGGCGTGTTGGGAGACGTTTTGGAAACTCCCCGTGCCAACCCCTTTTGTTTTTTGGTACTCTAATGGGGACTGAAGCCAGGGCCTTTACACATGTCCAGCTCTCTGAGACAGGGTGTTGCTAAATTGCCAACACTGGGCTCAAACTTGGGATCTTCCTGCCTCACTGGGATTCAGCAAACACCACAACAGTTGCTCTGCTTCTTTTCCTCCATCCTGCAGCAAATACTTCCCTGGACAGGAGAGCCGGACAAAACTCGTCTACCGGGGCCGCCTGCTGCAGGACCCTGCCAGCACACTGCGCTCCCTGGACATCACTGACCGCTGTGTGATCCACTGCCTCCGCCTGCCCCCAGGGTCCGCTGCCCCGGGCCCCGAAGCCCCCCTGGCCAACTCTGCCACTGAGCCATCCAGTCTGGGGCTCAGCATGGGCAGCCTCATGGTGCCCGTGTTCGTGGTGCTCTTGGGCGTGGTCTGGTACTTCCGGATCAACTACCGCCAGTTCTTCACGGCCCCAGCCACAGTCTCTCTGGTGGGCGTCACAGTCTTCTTCAGCTTCCTGGTCTTCGGGATGTACGGACGGTAGAACCCAGAGAGAAACGAAGGGCACGTCTTCCTCTGCGCTGCTTCCCTTCCCCAGACAGAGCTGGGCCAGGCCAGGATGTGGTACACAGGCAGGAGGCCCAGCAGGTGGACGTGGGGCTGCCCCCCTGACCATGGGACAGCTCTCCCCACACCAGCAAACTCAGGTAGAACCTTCTTTCCAGCATCCTGCCCAAGCTCAGAGCCATGCCCAGCTTGTGGGAAACTTGCATTCACCCCCGCCCCGGGGCACCCCTGCGGGGGGGCCCTGGTGCCAGTCCAGAGACTGGCATGGCAGAGCAAGGAGAGACTGAACCCACCCCTCTTGGCCCAGGCGTGCATGGGGTGTCCCTTGCACTCTGCTAGCCTCTCTGGAACAGTGATTGACAGGGCTCTGCCAGGATGGCACCAGGCCACAGCTGCTGCACCCCTGGGCCCAGAGCTGCCAGTGACCACTGGCCTCAGCCAGTACCTGCCTGCTGGGCTCCAAGGACTGCTCCAGAGGGGTCACCGTGGGCCACCTGGGCCCTCACCTTGGGGGCCCCAGGATAAAGGCTTCACATCTGTGACTCAATAAAGTTGTTTTGTGGGCAAGGTGCCTCCTGTGACATCCAGAACATAGCTCTGCCCGCCCAGCTCTGTGGCAATGAGCGCAGGAAGGCCAGGCTACCAACGGGAGATGCAGTTTATTTACACCAGCAGCCATGGGCAGAGGGTACACAGCGCTTACAAAGTTAGCTACCTGTACAGGATGGATTATATATGCAAAAATAAAAATCTCAAGACCACAGGACAGCGTGAGCCCCCCCCCTCCCCCAATGACCCCAGCATGCGGTGATGCCAGGCGGGTGGCCCCGGGCATGCGGGGGGGAGCGATGCATGGAAGGGAAGCCACCGGCCGTGGGATTAACACAAACCCCACACTCAGACACAGGGTGGGATGCGGGGCACTGCTGAGGCAGGGTCTGCTGCCTCCCACCCAACCAGATGGGGCGCGGGGCCAGCTGGCAAGGACCAAAGGGCAGCGTGTGCACAGACCTCTCCCCAGGCTGCCCCCACGTCCTCCTTCCCAAGGGAGGCTGGGGGGTTAGGCAGGAGCCCCAGCCTTGCACCCCTCACCTCCAGCCCACTCCCACATGGGCGGCCCTGGAGGGAGAAGGCTGTGAGGGTGAGAAGAGGCGCCCAGGCCCCAGGATTTATTCTAACTCCTGCCAAAACGGGTTGGCTTTTTAAAAAGTAATCACAATGCTTGGGTTAAAAACCAATTTGTAACCAGGTATCAGCCACAATCAGAAGCACCCCAGGGGGAAACTGGGGTTCCAGACAAGGTCCCACAGCCGTCCCGTTGTTCCCACAACCCTCTAGGGTCCCTAACCCAAATCAGTCCGAGCAGTCCTGGGTACCAGCTACTCAAACGTGGGACATATCCAACACGTGCCGGGGACAGGCCCAAGGTCAGCTCTGGCCCATCGGTCACCTCTGTCTCTCTGGCCCGATGCAGGGCTGTACATCTCTCTGGATGTAGACCAAGCCGGTGGGCACACTGGCACGCTCTCCCACAGGGATGATGCCACCCTGTTCCCTCCACTGAGATCCGGAGCGCAGAGCCACCCTCTTCCCACCTACTGCTCGCAGGGAGAGGCACAAGGTCAGGACTCTCCTCGGGGCCCCGAACCACAAGTACAGAATAAATAACTTAAAAGCGGCGCAGGAGGGAATAGGGCAGCCTGGAGCAGGGACAGAGCGGGACAAGGCTGGTGAGGGGAAGGTGGCAAGCAGCAGCGTGGGGCTGGGCTGCCCCAGGGTAGAGGCAGGGCGGGCATGGGACACGGGGCCACCCCAGGAGGGCGAGGCTGCGCCCCTTCCTGGGGCAGGGAATGAGGTAAGAAAACATTTCAAATAAAGCAGCACCGTTCCCTCACCGCGGGCCTCCTTGCCGCCCAGGCCAGGGTCGGCCGCCCGCTGGGACAGACGGGAGGGACGGCAGAGCCCAGGTGACACGGCCCCACCCCACCCTCCCCTTTCCGCTCCTTGAAGCTTCGAGGCTGCGGCCCTTTCCTGGCACCCGCTGATGAGGGACAGCTCTGGCTGCCAGGGAACCCGTGGGGACAGAGGGGCTGCCGCGGGCAGGGGAGGCGGTACAGTCCTGGGCGCCACCTAGCAGCCGCCCACCGTGCCCACTGGCTGGGCATCGTGGGCTCTGCGCCCACTGCCCTGGGGCAGCTCAGACCCCTTCATATTGCCCGGGGCCTCCCGGGGTCAAGTCCAGTTCCTGGGCGGGGCAGGCAGTGTGCGGGGCAGTGCCCGGGCCAGGCCCTGGGCCTGGCCGGACATCCAGTAACTCACAGAATAAATAGGAAAACCGCCTCCCACCGAACTGTGTCCAGGATAACGAACGTGTCCAGGTCTGAGGCCTGCATGCCGAGGCCACTCCACTGCAGAAGACCTGGTGCCCCCCAGGGGCGCACGAGCAGGCCTCCGCCTGCCCACCTGGCCCCAAGCTCGCCAGCCCGAACCCCAGCAGCGTCCATGTGCCCGGGTCTGCGTCAGGCGGGGTTGGGCAGGCTCTGCTCAGCCAAAGGCAGCCCCTGCGCCATCAGTTGATGTCATCGTAGATGCTGGGCGTCGGGGGTGCTGGTGGCTTGGGCCTCTTCTTCTTGCTGGCGCCCAGACCGGACGCAGCCCCCGCCAGGCCCAGGTGCGGCTTCTTCTTCTTGGCCTTCCGGGACTCGGAGCTGCTGCTGCCTGCAGAGGGAGGGAAGGCGGTGAGCGCGCTGCGGGGCTGCCCCCTCCAGCAGCTCCCGAGCCCTATGTACCTAGGCCCCATCCCTGGGTGTCACTGGTCTTGGAGGAGCCCGAGTCCGAGGGTGAGAGGTCGGAGGAGCCGTCCCACTGCAGCCGGCTGAGGAGGGCCTGGCTGTCGGCCATGTCGAAGCTGTCGTTGTCCAGTGAGCTCTCCACCTCCGGGAGGACACTGCAAGGGAGGCCAGTGGGCTCAGGCACGGCCACCACCACCCCACCCCTGCCAGCCCATCCAGTGGGTCACTCACGCCGAGGGCCCGAGGAAATAAATCCGCACAGTCCGCCTCTGCTCGTCTGTGTGCTGGGGACAGCGCAGGGACCTGGTGGGGACAGAGGGCTCAGCCCTGACGGGGCCCTCGGGAAGGTCCACATCCTTGTGGCGGACGCAGGGCCCACAGGCCTACCCAGCCCCCATGGGCGCGCAGGACCCTCACCTGGTGCACATCTTCTTGGTGTGTTCCGAAATCACTCCGCATTGCTGTGAGAGGGACGGAAGCTGAGGTGGCTGCAGGGACCCGGCCCCGCTCCCGAGGCTCCCCGCACAGCACACCCCGCCCCCCGCCAGCCCTCACCGTGGTGAGCAGGCTGCGCAGCTCCTCGGGCCCCAGGGACTCATAGCTGATCCCGGCAGAGTTGCTATACTGTGGGAACCAGGGCACAGTCAGGGCCAGGGTAGAAGCCCAGAAGCCCTGGCCTCACCTCCCAGCCCTCAATGCCTAGACTCCCCATCTGAACCTCAGCCACCCTGTGGGGCCACGACACGGGGCACGGGCAGCCCCTGCTCACCTTGAATGGATCCGAATTGCTAAGCTCCCCTGAAGAAGAAAAAAGAAGAGGAAGGGTGTTTGATGCAGAGGTACAGACAGAGAACCCTGAAAATAACCAGAGAGGAAGTGGGGGTGATAGAAGGCTTGCAGGCCCTCCCTCCACACCGCCCCCCGCCTGCGCTCCCAGCGGGTCCCAGCACCACAGCCAGCAGCTCCTGTTGCTCCAGCCCCACTCACCATTTTTGTGTTTTAGAGACTTGGATCTTCGCGGGGAGTTGGGGTTCTGGAATGGGAGATACCACAGCTTTGGGGAAAGGGCAATGATAAGGGGGAGCCAAGAACCCACAGGAGGAAAAACATTTGACAAAGAAACACCCTTAATCACTGCGTGTCCTCCCAGCAAGAGGCCTGGTGGCCCACATGCCCCGCCCAGCACCTCCAGGACTCAGCAGACCTGGCTCATAGACACCCACACCTCAGTGACCTGACTGCAGTCAAGACACCTGAGGCCCCCCTGCCCCAAGGGAGGGTCTTGTCCTGTGCCTGAAGTCCCTGCACCCCAGCTCTCACCTTGTCCGATTTCCTCTTCTTAGCTGTCAGGGACAGAAAAGACAGCACAGTCACTTTTTTCCTGTTTCTTTGATCGTACAGGACTGAACCCAGGACCCTGATACATGCTGTGCCAATGCTCTGCTGCCAACCCACTCTCCAGCCCCAACCAGGGCTACTTAAAGCCCCAAACCAAGAGCATCTAAAGAAAAGGCAGAACTATCTCCTGCCCACACCACTGGTGACAATTTTTTTTTTGCACTACTACGACTTGAACTCAAGACCTTCACAGGGACCTACATCATCAGCCTTGAGTCAGGGTCTCACTAAGTTTGCCAGGCTGGGCTCAAATTCCTGTTTCTGCCTCCCAGAGTGCCAGGGCTACAGCCACGCACCACCACTCCGGACTCCACCTGCTCCCAGTGCACCCCAAAGTTCCCCAGGCTGACAAACACCTTTCTTCTCCGAGCCGTAGGACCAGTCATTGTCGTTGATGTCATCGTTGTCCTCCTGGTCGCTCTCTGACTTGTTCATGTTGTTGCTATTCGCAATTCTGTGAGGGGAGGACACCCTGGACATCAGGCTGGCGTCCCTCTGCACCCCCAACTTCAGAGCTCCAGGGGAGAGAATGTCCAGGGCTTGACCCACCCTGTGCCCCACAAGTGCCCCAGGTGCCAGCTGCGGGGCCGGCGGGCAGCGCCCTCACCGGCGGTTGGCGATGCGGCTGCTGTTGCGCCCCATGCCCAGGCACTTCTCCAGGTGTGGTGCGAAGCGGGACGCCGCAATGCTGCGGCTGCAGTTGGGGCAGACACACTCCTTGCTCTTCCACTGGTTGAAAACCTGTCCAAAGATGTCCAGCCCGGGCTGGTCCACGATCTCTGGGGACAGGAGAGGTGTGGCCATCAGGGCGGGCGGGGACTACCCCCTCACAGCCCAGCCTCAGCTTTGGGGGTGCAGCGCTGGACGCAGCCCCTAGGCGCTCCGCCGGAGCTCACCAAAATCCTTCATGCTGTCTGGGTCCGTGTCATCCAGGAAGAAGTAGCCACACTTGACAGCTCGGTGCACCTCGAAGCAGAACCCCAAACACGAATCCTCGACCAGGTCTGCGTAAATCTCCTGAGCGATGGCCTGGGCCGGGAAGAGGGCCCATCACCATGGTCGCCCCCAGCTGGTGCAAACTCAGCGGTGGCTCTCCTGTGTCCCCCGTCCTGACCACGGCTTGCGGCGGGCATAAAGACACCAGCAGAGAGAACTGGAGGCACACGTGGGGGCCTCACCTCTAGTTTGCTGTTATCCAGGCCAGACAAAGACATTTCCTCCATTTTCATTTGTAAACTCTTGTGGAGACGGCGCTCTGACTGCTCATAGCACAGCGGGCGGCGACACGGCTGCAGGACGGGGGTGCTCCTGTGAGGCCGAGGCAGCGCAGCCTGCCACCTCTCCTCCCCGGCGGCGCAGCCCTGCCAGTCCCAGCCCAGGCCCTTCAGCCTGTATGGTCCTCGGCTGAAGCCCAGGGGCCACCGTGTTCTCGCCAGGCAGAGCCGGGTTCCACAGCCAACCCAGGTCTAGGTCTCCGCAGGCGGCAGCTCCCGGGTCCCCAAACTCAAACCCCTCTCGATACCCATGGTGCAATGCAGCAGAGAAGGAACTCCAGGCCCAGGCCTCAGAGCAAACCCACAGGGTGTGGCAGAGCCGCCTGGGCTCCTAGGGCAGCCCCGGCCCCCAAGGCCCTCCCAGTCACCTCTGCCGGCATCCAGGTGTCCACTTGGGGGGTGCTGCTACCAGAAGTGGAGCCGCCCGGGACCCTGCCACCCTCACCCCACTGTCCTCCGCAAAATGCGCCTGCTTCTCCCCGTGCAGACTGGAGCGGGGCGCAAGGGACCGGGGTCGCAGGGACACCGAACCGCACGGCAGGGGTGCCCGGGGGGGCGCACTCGAGGAGGGGGCCCTGCCTACCTGCGGCTGCCGGGACAGCCCCTCCCGCCCCGCGGCCCGGCCCGGAAGTCCGTCCGAGCGCCCCGAAGTGCGGGC